GACAGCATGAGACGCCTTACTGGTTCCTAAAGCCCAGCCAGCTGTGGGCTCCTTCAAGCGATTTTATGCCCTCCTGCCGACAGCCTCAAGGAGTTTCTGCAGGTCGTCCCTCTTCTGGACCTGTTTCCTCATATGGAAATATATGTTTTGGGGCACAGTGCCAGATGCTCGGAGCTCCTTTTGCAGTACTGTTTGGACTCTACGAACCCCTGGGGGTCAGTATATGCTCTTCTTTCCGACCCCTCAGACTCGCCATGGGGGACCTCCCCCCCAAGCCCCTGCCTCTCTAACCCCAAATCCTGCTTGATTTTCTCCCTTGTAATCTGAAATTGTCCTATTGTCCAGTCATTTATTTACTTATTGCTCGCTTTCTGCACCTCTCTGTCAAGCCCCGAGTGTACAGCCTAGCACGCCCAGTGACTGCCAGTAATCCATAAGCTTCTCCAGACACTTACAATAGGACACAGGTGTAAGTTTAAAAGAAATAGTTCACTTCTCTTTAATGGAAAAAGTCAAATCTAAACATCAGTTGCTACAGTGCAGAACTGCACACTGGCCTCTCTTGTACTCAGCGGGAAGGCATCGGGTGGCCCCTTAATTCTTGAGCCATACCCCTGTCCAGTCGCCTCCGCAAGTGGGAAACATAGAGCTTGTTTTCTTGCCCTTTTTAAAGGTTTATTTATTTATGCATACAAGACCTGGGGTGTAGGCTAGAGGTGCGGAGGGTGGGGGTGAGAGGACTCCCCAGAGACAGAGCAGGGAGCAGAATGGGCAGGTCCACTGAAATCCACTGCTGAGGGGAGCAGCGGGGAGACAGGAGGGGTCTGCTGTGCCCTGGGGGTCCCTCCCGGGCTGGGGATCGAGCTCATGCCACAGTGCCTGGTGATGACTTGATAGTGTTGAGGCTTAACCCCTTGTGCCACCAGGGAGGCCCCAGGACTTGTTTTCTAACCAATAAAAGTGGGCACAGTTGATGTCAGCCCTGGGGGATCCATTTGTGTTAGGTAAGATTCCATCTCACTTGCAAACTCCCTCTGGGGACTTCCTGGCCAGCTGAAGTGAGTGACCATGTCAGGAAAGGCCTGTGACAATGAACTCTCATTGCTGAGGGCAGTGTCAAGTGGACAGCCAGCGAAAAGCCAGGCTCTTCAGCCCCACAGCAGCAAGAAATGGATGCTGCCAGCAAGCAGAGGGAGTGCAGAAGCTGGTTCTTCTCTAATGGAGTCTCCAGAGGAGAACACAGCCTGGCAGCCATTTTAAAGTTGTTATTTTTTGGATTTAGGGTCCTGGGTTCACTCTGGGAAAGGTGTCCCCAGAGTTCCCCTTTCAGCTGCACACGGCGAGTTCCCCAGGCGAGTTTCTCCATGAGACAGAGACTCAGTGCTATTTAAAGAGCAGGTTTATTAGGGAACAGGACAGGCGAGCAAAGGACTCTTGCATAGGCACAAGCAGGCAGGGAGCGCTGCCCAGAAGGGACAGGTTTGCTGAGAGAGGCCTGCATGTTGCAGGGGGCAGCCTGAGGAGAGCGGCCTCCGCTGAGGGAGGCCAGTGCAGAGAGGCCCGGCAGGTGCAGGTCACCAGCTGAGGGCGGCCAGTGCAGAGAGGCCTGGGAGGTGCTGGAGACTGCTGCCCTGGGGAGGGAGAGAGCCGGCGGGAAGAAGCACCTGCATAGGCACAGGTGGGCAGAGAACGGCCGCTCCCAGTCAGGGCAGAGACTGACCTGATAGAGACATTTTCTCTTTGGGAGGGGCTCACTCCTTTGTGGGGTGGCCTGTTTGATGCTGATTTTGGATAACTGTGTGGAATCTCACAATGGCCCAATCTCTCTCTGTACCTTCACCCTCAGGTCTGTGCTTCCGATACTCCCGACAGCCGTCTGATACAGCAGTCTGCAGAGGGGTCTCTGGGACTGAGTTACTGGTCATGTGAGTCCTTCTGCCCCCACCTCCTTGCATGAGTCAGGTGTTGACCTTGTGATGTCGTCTTCAGGTTTTCTACTGTTTTCCTCCGTCATTAAGGGCAGGTGAGACATTGTACACAGAAGACCCAGGTGCCCGGATACCTGACCCCATAAATCTGTGTTGTTTGAACACTAAGTTTGTGGTAATTTGCAGCAAGTCATATAAGCAATACAGATGCATCACCCTTGGCAACAAATTTCAAGTTTGACAATAGTGTCTCTTCTTTACCCCCATGTTTTGGCAAAATCTCATGCCAATACTTTCGTGTGTCCTCTAGCAGCGAACATTTTATTGTATGTATGTGTGTGTATATGTAATATATATATATGTATATATTTCATTGTTCATTTTGGCACAATGTATGGTTGTATGCTTTCTCCTTTCTAGTATATTCCCGGTAAATTTCCCACCACCATTTCACCCTTAGACCTAGCAGAGGACATTTTAAATACACAGGTCTTAATTGACAAGAGTGGGGTCTTTCAAAAAAGGATTAAGTCAATGAATCTGGTTTTAACTGGACACTTGGAAAGATGCTTGTAATAAAATGAATAAAACTCCTATTCCATTGATCTCATGAGCTAAAGGACAAGAAAGAATCTGAGAGCTTGCTCTTGCAATGTCTTGTCTGTCCGTTTTTAAAACAGTGGTGCAAACACAGAGTACTTAATTGTCTCTATAAAATACTCCTCTCATACAACATCTCAAGCCATAGGAACCCCATTCTGATCGCTAACGAGCCCACCCATTCCTCTAACCGGCTTCAGAGAGGTTCCTGGTAAATTACGTTTCTTAAAATTCACCACTCCTTATAAATATCACGTCTTACTCTAATCGCCACCCGCAAAGCCTTTCCTTCCTACGGGAAGGGCAATCCGCCTGGATCGGCTTCTTCTCCTCTTTGAATAAACCGGTCTCCCTCAGGCTCGGCTCACCCCGGCGGACCACCCGGGAGCTTTGTGATCTCCGGCAGTAGCTGCGCGCTCTCCAGGCTGGATTCAACAGTGCCTCGCAGGCTTGTGGTGGAGATTAGATAAAGAACGTGTGTAACGTGTCAAGTGGCCAGCGGGGGAAGGCGCGGCCGGCCCCCACCTTTCCCTTTTGTTAGTTCCCATCTCTAACCTCCGCTCACCACAACGCCCGGCACCGCGCCTCCCCCGCCCCAGTCGCGAGGGATGCAGGGATGTGTAGTTTTTTGGTCCCCAAGTCGTGTTTCCTCTCGGAGCCGGACGGCGAGAGGAAGAACTACACATCCCAGTGGGCCGTGAAAGGAAAGTGGGGATCGGAAAATCGAGGTTCCCGCCCTGTACCCTCCTCTTTCCCCTGCCCTGCGGCCGGGCGCCCCCCGCCACCGCGAGGGCGCAGGCCCGAGCCAAGCCCCGAGGGCGCGGGCGCTGCCACCGCCTGGCTGGGACTGTCTTGGGGGCCGGGTGGACCCCGACTCGAGGCGCGCGTGGTCCCGCCGCCGCCCGGAGCTCGCGGGGGAGAGCAGAGAAATAAAGCGTGCACATTGCGAGCGCCGGTATCAGTGAACGACGAGAGGTCCGGGACGTCAGCCAGGCAGAGCCCGGCCGCCTGGAGCTTGTCCTCCCGGAGGGCGGCAGGGAACGGGGCGGAGAGGAGCGGTCGCTTTTCTCCCTGCCTCGCCCTGCGGGGAAGCTGGACGCCGGGCCGGGCAGGACTGGCTCTGGGACCCCGCGCGCGATGCCCCTCGCGGACAGCCGCCGCTCCCCACCCCCACCCCTGGCCACCAGCTGAGCCCCAGCCCCACTCCGGGAGGAAGCGGTCGAGCGGGAGCAGGGCGGGGAGGTCAGCTCTGCGCGCCAGCCCTCCGGTCCTGGCCGTCGC